TATAGGTAATATCATCTTTAGTAATATCTAAATACCATCCTACGTTAATATTGGTATAGTTTTAGTATTGCAGTTGGTATCATATTTAACAAGTATTTTCATTAGCATATGTTGTTATATTGTTGGTATCTTAATCAAGTCTATTTGAACCTGATAACCTAGCTGCGTCGATTGGTATCAGACTCATACAGTTAAAAGCTAAATTAAGTTGTTAATTAAATTAATAATTAAGTAAAATTGGATAATACTAGGCCTTCTACTGAGTGTAAGAAACTGATTTTAAGCACTATTATCATATTCCTGAAAATACTAGTAATTTTGGCCCGGTCCTTAATTATATTGTAGATCAAATTGGTGAATTAAGATCAGAAGTTGATAACATACGTGTCGTTGTATTAATATTGAAAATAAGATATCAATAACCACAACCGATATTAATAAAAAAAATAAAAAAAAAAAAAAGTAAGTGATCTAAAAGAACAAGTTAAACAAGTGCAACTTGCTTTAACAAACGAGATTAGACATCAATCTAATGAAGAAAGATCACCTAATAAGGAAAAAATCGTCCCTTATAAATATAAATATCCTTTTCAAAATTTAGATAAAATAAGACGTTTACGGTATCACTCCCTAAAAGACCTACTAGTAACCAAGAAAAGGACGAAGAAACTAAAGATGAGCCATCGTCTTCAGAAGAAAAAACGCTTGAAGAATTACAAACCTTATTCGATAAGGAAGAAGACCCTGATAAACTAAACGGAATAATGAAAATAATTTCTGAAAAAGGGATTGCTTCTGATAATGAAGTAGAGGAGAATAACTATGTTACTTTAGAGGAAGATTTATATCAACAAATGAGATTAATGAAGTTAGATGATCTAGACTTTCTACCTATAGAAGTTGTTCAACAAAAGATTGAAAACAAACTAGGTAAAAGGGTAATGGATAATAATGATATTGGAGAAGAAATTATTAATGAAAATATTAATGTAAACAATGTTATCCAAAGACCTAGGTATCAAGGAGAAGGAGTTGCACACGACCAAGATACATACCAGGGAAGACTACCCGGTTTAGTGTCAAGGTTATGCCTAACCAAATTCCTAAACAAGAAGAAGTGACTCTTGAACCTATGAGTCAAACGGGTAATAAGCTTAAGTTAGATGGTGTAAGAGATAGACAAGATGTTTTAGATCAGTGGAAGAAGAGTATGAGTAGTGTACTCAATTTAAACACTGAATGGACTTCTGAAAATTTCTTAAATTATAATGAACATAGTTTTTATGACTGTGTAGAAGACTGGTATGATGGTATAGATGAAGAAGTCAAAGCTACATTAAGAGCTAGTGAATCTCCTACTAAAATGTTTAGACAGTTATGTCAATACATTGAGTTAGAATTCATTGGTCCTAGAGCTGATCTTAATGAAAAACGAATGGAATATCAAAGAAAGTTAAGTAATTTGCCCATCTATAATATGAAATATGTTGATAATTACATTATCGAATTTGAAACATATTATTATAAAATTGGTGAAAATGAAACAAATCTTAGAATGTTCTACGATAAATTACCAAGTCCTCTTAATGAAGAAGTTAGTGAAAAATATCAAGAATGGAAAGAGAAATTCTTATCTAGGGATGCCCTAGGTAATAGAATTGTTTTTCTAAGAAAATGGATTGAAAAGAAATGTAGAGAGGTTGCAGGAACCCAACAAATGAAGAGACAATTTCTCACTTGTTGGGATTTCCCAAATAACTATGGATGTGAAAGAAAAAACTATAATAAGAGGAAGAATTATAAGAAAAATAAATTTGACAGATCAAGAGGAGAAACCTATAAGAAGAAGTACTATAACATAAATACAGAAAACCGAGTAGGTTTTTCAGAAAGGCAGCATATTGTCCTGAGAAAAAGAAAACATGCAAGTGTTTGGTCTTGTGGAGAATTAGGAAACTATGCTAATGAATGTAAGAAAGTTAATCATAAACTAATAAAAGCCTCAGGTAGTTGGGACTACATAGAAATACCAGAAGATGAGGCTTTAGATTTGGCTTTAAGTAATAATAAAGGAATAGTAGAAATCATAGAAGAAGAAAATGAGTATAATGAAGAACCTGAAGATAGTGAGTTTGAAGATGAAAATTATGAAGAAATAATTACAATGATAAAAGGGGAAGTATTAGAAAACTCAGAATCAGACGATGAGGATAAAATTAAAGTAAAATGACTATAGATCAACTAAAAAGAGCTAAGTATTCAATTGAAGATAAAGACCTAGACCAAATGAACAAAGAAAGCTGGAAACTTTCCCCTGATTACTTAAAGATAAAAATATTTAAAACTTCTTTATTTAAAACTAGAACTAAATATGTATGTGAAGAAATGGAAGGAAGTATAGTAATCAAGGATTGTGAAAGGAAAGCAGCAGAAATTAATATCATAAATTGGAAAAGCATTAAAGAACCATAAAGAAAAAGGAAATTATAGTTATATTTTGTATTGGTGCAGTACAAGTATACATAACTCCTTTATAAGATTTTTGGTAAAATGTTAAATGTTTAAGCTTTGTTTGTAGACACAAAGAATTCTATTGAGCAAATTATTAGTGGTATCACTTGTAGCTTAAGCCAAGGAACTGTAAGTTATATATGTGAACCAAGATACTATGTGAAGCCTAGGAGATTCATATGCTCCAAAATTTCTAGCAATCAAGTTATTAACTGATCGAGTAAACATGCATAAAGGAACTCGACCTATACAATTAAGATGGAAGGTAGTCTATAAGTTGGTTAACACTATAGATTCATCTTTCAAGAAACAAATAGTAGATGCTCAGAAATATGAGCAAGGAGGAGGCCCTAAGAAGAAAATTACCCCTATAAAAGTAAATCCTAACGAGATTGAAATTGAAAAAACTTGGGAAGAATTCTTCATGAATCCTGTAGTAAAAAAATAGGTCAAGTAAGATGTTAATTGATGAATCAGGATCACTTCATATTGGGTTAACTACAAATCCTAAAAATGTAGATAAGTATGAGTCTTAAGAACACCAACTCTAAGTAGACAGAATTCAACTATAATAAGGATGAAAAAACAAGTCAATGAAAAACCCGAAGAGGATGAAGAAGAAATATTAGCTTTAATAAAAAAGTTAAATCTGAGAAAATATGAAACTAAGAAAGCCTTAAAGCAACCAGCAAGGCATAGTATAGATATTGGTTCATGTTCTAACTTAGAAATACATGAAGATCCGAATAATCCTATTATTGAAAAAAGAAAGGTAATTAGATATAAGACCAAAACTGTAAGTGAACCAGTATATGAAGATGAGTTTAATATGCAAATGGAAGCTTGTAATGAAATATCTAGTACTAATCCTAATAGCATTTATATTCCAATTGATATATGCATTGAAGATTATAATAAATATAAATTATTTTCATATATTGATAGTGATTGTTCTACATGTTTTGGAAATAGGTCATTATTTCCAGAATTCTTATGGAAAAAGGCTAAAAATGCTATGCAAGTTAGAATTGCTAATAATAGTGTCATGATGCATACGGAAATAATTGAAGAATTACCAATAGAAATTGGAGGAGTTCAATGTGTTATTTCTATTTTATGGGCAACTGATCAACCTAGTCATTATATGATAATAGGAAACAATTTTCAAAGATTATTACTCTCCATGCACTCAAACCATTGATCAAATTATCTTTACAATTAATGGTCATTATGTTCCTATACAGAAAAATAACAAAGGCTTATACTCATCAGACTATGGAATTTACGCACAACCAGTGTGGTGATAGGGTTACACCTACACAACGAGAGGTTGCACTTAGAATTTTTGAGTGTGATTCATCATTAATAGATCAGATAAGTAAGGCAGCAAGAATAATTATGTGAAAAATTATATTCAACAAATCCATTAGAACATTGGGAAAAGGATAAGGCTTTTGCTAAGATAACTCTAACAAATCCTAATAAGATTATTAGAGTAAGACAAATGGTTTATACCTACCAAGATATATTGGAATTTGATGAACAAATAAAAGAATTGTTGAAATAAAAAGTTAATTAGGGATAGCAGAGTCCTCACAATAGTCAACATTCATGGTAAGGAATCATGTAGAATAAAAAAGAGGTAAAGCTAGAATGATCATTAATTATAAACAGCTAAATGACAATACTGTCTTTGATGGCTATTACATTCCTAATAAAACGGTGTTATTTAATAGAATACAAGGAGCCACATGGTTTTCTAAGATGGATTTGTAAGAGTGGCTACTGGGAAAATTAAAATGGAAGAAGAAAGCATTCCATTGACTGCATTTAGTGCCCTTCAAGGGCATTATGAATGGTTAGTAATGCCTTTTGGATTAAAAAATGCTCCACAAATATTTCAGAGAAGAATGGATAATATTTTTAGAGAACTTAATCATTGTTGTTTGGTTTACATTGATGATATTCTAATATTCTCAAAAGATTTAGAACAACATAAGAATGATCTTAAAGTTGTAACTCAAAAATGTGTTGAGCATGGTATAATCCTTGGAAAAGAAAAATGTGTTTTATGCTAAACAAGAAATTGAGTTTTTTTGGATTAGAAATTAAAGCAGGACAAATAATCTTGCAAAAACATATCCTGGAAAAGATTGAAAAATTCCCAGATAAAATTGAAGATAGAAAACAACTAGAAAGATTTCTAGGATGTTTAACTTATGCTTCTGATTTTTATAGAGAATCTTTCTTTATTAAGAAAACCATTTACAACAAAAACTCAAGAAAGAAATAACTTGGAACTGGAAGGAAAGTGATTCCAAAATTGTTCAAGATTTAAAAGCTATGTGCAAAGATCTTCCTGTATTAACACTACCTACTAGTGAAGATGATTTAATCCTTAAAATAGATGCTAGTAATGAGCACTGGAGTGCTGTGTTAAAAAATCAAAGAAGGAGAAAGACTCTGTAGATACAAAAGTGGAAGTTTTAATAAAGCTGAGATTAATTATCCTACAATGCAAAAGGAAATCCTTGCGATCATTAGAGGGATCGAGAAGTTCTTAATCTTCTTGGCCCCTAAACATTTCTTAATAAGAACAAATTGCAAAGGCATACTTGGTTTTGTTAAAAATAATTTGTCTAATATGCAAGCACAAGGGAGACTCCTGCGTTGGCAATTATGGCTTAACCAAATCTCTTTTATTGTTGAACATATACAGGGATCGAAGAATTATTTGGCAGATAGCTTGACCAGAGAATTAGCTAAATGGCGAAGAAGCACAAGACATCAGAAAAACCTCCTGCCATCAAATAGAAAAGATGGAGACAGAGAGGAAATCTTTTCATTGATGAAACGGAAAAAGCAATGGAGCGGGTTTCACCCTCTAGTTGGGCCTTAATGCAAGGCTTGATCATTTCAGCAAAACAACGTTCACGAGATGGTTTAATCAAGGGTTTCCATCGAGTAGTCCAAAGGCTATTGATGTTTGAAGTAACAATTATGTTATTTCAACTCATCCCTGATTTACGAAATATAATACTTAAGAAGATAAAAGATAATGATTTTAGAGCATGGTACAAGCTAGTAGTAACAAAGTCTAGTTGATTCTTTGATGTTCGATATCTATGGGGAGAACGAGTAGAGTTTTCTAAAAACTCTAAAGTAGCAGCATTAAGCATCAATCTATATCTTCTTAATCGGGATGCTCCATTCATTAGGATACATGACAAAGCTTGGGATTATGGGATGGTAGATGCCTTTCATGAATTCCCTACTCCTAATGACTCATTCTTTCCAAAGCTTACAAAATTCCAACAGTACGCATTCAATAAGGTTCGAAAGTATTGTGATGACAAAGAAGAAGATTTTCAGCTAGAAGCGAGGGTGCAGTGTGCGAAATATTGAAGTTGTAGAAGGAAAAGTCAGTCCACCACAATATTTGATAATGTTTGGGAAAATGGGATTTAGTTGTCAAGATCCTATACCAGTTCGTCAAAAGGCCGTTAAAAATCCTAGTGAAGCAAAGGGCGTTGGGATTTTTCTACATATCACAATATCTCAATGATTTTATAAAAGAGAACCAAAAATCCTCCTGTTATGTTTCATATTGGTAATACAACTATTGTGGCACCAAACAAGATGAAAGAATATTTAGTAGATGACATAAACAATACTGAGTCAATCTACAAATATTTAGAAGATGTTGAAAGTGGGAAGTTTCTGTCATTTGAAGGCCATGAGTATCTGTTTGAAGCTTTCATGACATAGGATGAATCATATGCAGCCAAATGTGTCATAGACCTTGGCATAGAAGAAGAGAATCCTATGTATGTCCATTATGAAGACAGCAAAGATAGTGAAGGTGGCCTACAAGACATGATGATGGACGAGATAATGGATTCCTGAGCCCACAAAAATAATCATGCAAGCTACTGTAGCCACATTATTATCTTTTGTAACATATCTTTGGTAAAAAGCAGTGGTTCTTTATGAACTTGCTTGAGTCATGAGTGTCGGTAGAAGATAAGAATCCTTTGCTATATAAAGGATGGTAGAGTAACAAGTGAAGGCAGAGTTGGAAGAGTGAGCTAGAGGATTCCTATGAAAACATTAGAGAGTCCTCTAGAGAAAAATACTCACCTTAAGAGACAGATTGGTTCTCCATCTTTCATAAAGTAGAGAAAACTCTAGTTCAACTTATGTATGTTTAAGCTTTCAATTAGTGTTGTAATATATGAGTGTTGTAATCTTTTCAAATTAAATAAAAGTTTCGTTCAAGAAGGGAACATTATCCCCTTGAACCTTATATATCAAATGAGTTAACTTTCTGTTTAAGAAGTTTTTGTCATAAACACAGTAAAAATTGTTTTATTAGAGATTACGGTCTAAGGTAGAAAACAAATTAGATCTGTGTTGTGCTTGATCTAAGGAAGACAGGGTTGGGGTTAGCTACCTTGGTAAAGCCGAAAGCTCAGAACATCGGAGGTTCCATTGTCGACTAAGTTCAGGTATTGGTCAAAACTCTCTAGTTAAGTAATTATTATTGCGAAGCATGGTGGGCTATTAAACTGTTAAGGTAATTTATTTCAATATATAAGTAGTATAATTGTGATAACTAGTACCGATAAAAGTCATTAATTGAAAAACGAGATATTAAAAACTAGTATTATATAAAGGGTATATATTAAAAGCTAGTATTATATAAAGGGGTTGTTGGTA